TGTTTTGAGAATGATGATGGCAACAGATATACAAATGTGCTTGACACAATGTATGTATGTATGTATGTGATAAGAGTTGTACGAGCCCCCAATACAATGATTTTTTTTTTAAGTAGAAAATCCTATTTGCCAGAAAAGTATGTAAATAAATAAAATAGTTCATACTTAAGACTTCTAGGAACCACCTGCAATGCCACGATTAACTAAAAACATAAAACATTAGCCAGGGATCAGAGAATACTTAGAGAAAATTGATCTAACTTGCCCACATGAAGTGATTACTGAAGATATGTATGCTACAGCCAAGTGTGGTAAAGATATCAAATTGTGCCTCGCTATCAGAAAGAATAGTGTCTGGAGTCTGAAAGGCTTGTCTTAAAACAAGCAGCCATCTAAGTGTGATGTTAGCTAAGTCTGCATGAAAGAAGCACACTAGTCTGTGTGAGCCAAAAATTGTAGATAATAAAAATCCAAGAATCTAGAAGAGAATCGTAGTACAGCTTAAGTTCTGGGCACCTGCTTTGCAGAAGGCTTTGGATGACAATGAAAGCCCAAAATCCATTTGCCTGGCCACCGTGTGGATTAAACCTCCACTGAATTTCCTTGTTCCATTGACTAAGAATATGAATAGTGGTGTCCTCAGAGAGAGCGCACTGAAAAGTAGATTACTGCAGATAGTCTTACCATATGCTTTCCCCTTTGGCCCATTTGAAACTTGTTCTAGCTTTTATAATTTTCTGCTTTCTCTTAGATTGAGGATTTCCTATGTTTTATTTAGTTGTTCGTGGTATTTTGTCTTTGTTTTGTATGACTTTCTTATATGGAATCTTAAACACAAACAAACAAAAACCACCTCATTGCCATCTCATAGCAACCCTATAGGACAGAGTAAAACTGTCCCTGTGGGTTTCTGGGACTAACTCTTTACGGGAATAAAAGCCTCATCTTTGTCCCACAATTAGCAGCCCAACCCACAACCTACTATGCCACCAGGGTTCCTCTTTATGAAGTCTAGGGTAGGTAAATCTATAGAAGCAGTAATGAGAGAAACAGTTTCTTAGGGTTATGGCAAAGAAGGTTGGCGGTGAATGGGGAGTGAATAATAATGGGTCTAAGAATTAAGAAAATGTTCTGAAATAGATTGGGATGATGATTGGACAACTCTTTAATACATTTAAACTGTTGAGTTATATGGTATGTGAATTATATGTCAATAAAACTGCTTTAATAAAAGAAAACTGATCTATGATACTAAATAATAATAACAAAGATTAATAGGTATTGAGCTCCCGCTCTCAACCATACATCTATTCCTCATGCTTTACTTCATTTCATTTCATTCTCACAAATACCTTATAAATACTCAAACCACCAACCCCACTGCCATCGAGTTGATTCCTACTTACAGTGACCTGAATGAACAAGGGAGAACTGCCCATGGGGGAAGGCTGTAAATCTTTATGGAAGCAGACTGCACATCTTTCACCTGTGCTGAAGCTGGTACACCTCAACCACTGACATTGTGGTTAGCAAAGAGCACTTTAATTACTGTACCACGATTTCTTCTCCTTATGAGTAGATAACACATAATAATTAATTTGTTCTATGTCACAAACTAAGAAATAACAGAGTGGGACTTCAAACCCAAGCAGATCCTGAGCTCAGCTTTCTAACTTGTACTCTGCCAAATATCACAGTAGGGAGCTTAGGGCACAAAAGTATGAGCTCTTAAAATAAGTATTACAAAACATTCCATAGAACTTTAAAAAAAAGGATTTGCAGTAATGCATGCAAAATACTAACATGTGCTAGCTACTATTTTTATGCTAGAAGGTCTCAGGGAGTTGTTTCAAAGCTTTTACCTTGTGTTTGAAGAACAGCCACTAATAACTCTACAACCAAGAGAAGGGTGCATGGAGTGTGGGTGACAGCAATATGAAGTCCTGAAGGCTAGTCAGAAAAACAGATCTAATTCCTCTAGCATCCTGGGGAAAAGGATTGGTCAATGAGGGGGCAGTTAACATGTGAGACCAGCACCCAACTATGGTGATTTACCTTGATGTGCATGGCACATTCTCACTTCTCCTTTGTTCTTGGTTATTAACCAGATGTCAAACCACTGAAAAGCCCAAAACAGCAGCCCACAGGAAAGATTAAAGTCTTATTTACTCTAATATGAAACGATTTGATTGCACATTAGAAGTACACAAGATTAACAGAGCATAACCAACATCAGCTCTTTTCAATGAAG